GCCTGGTCCGGTGAGAACCCGGCGTGCTCCGTCCCGGCTTTGTAGGGATGCGAAGTCAATGGTCTAACGACTACGGCATGCACGACTATGAGTACACCCCCCACCCCACCCCCCCGCCGCCCGGTGATTTACCGAGAGGGTCCCATTTTATACCAATTCTGTGGTGACTGTATTTGCCAGCAACACTGCTATAGTTTGCGCTCGCACTTAATAACCTCCAGCCTAGTTTTGGCCTAGGCTGAGGTTCTTACCGTAATTGTTCGTGTTATCGCACCCCCGTGTCATTAACCGTTTTTCTGTAGCGTATTTCTCCGCAACCAGGGAGGTATCACCTCAGAAAGAGGGTGGTTTTGGAAACATCTCGTCGAGGGCTTTCCGGAGAGATTTCGGTTGGTGTTCGCACCCTCCTAGTTGTGGAGAAATACGCTGTAGAAAAACGCGAACACGGGGGTGCGATAACACGCACAATTACGGTAGTTGCCCTTGTGGGCTACAAATGGCCGATGTGTAGGTGTGGGTGTACGGTTCATAACCGAGCTCACAAATGGTGCTTGCTCAAGTTCTTACATAGATTTTTTCAAGGGGCTGAACGGCCAAGCTCTGAAGTGAGTATGTCTCTGATATGAACGTTACCCCTGCCTGCCCTTGTCCACGGAAGCGACGAGAGACTGATGCCCAAGCGGCGAGCCGCTTGGAGCGCTTGGAACTACCTCGGCAAGTCTACGGAGATTGCGGCGGCGGCGGCAAGGGGGCACGCCGCGGACACCAAGCCCGCGTTCGTCACCTACTGGCTCAACAAGGCACGTGGAGGTCGCCGCCCGCCTCGCCTGTGGTCGTTGTTGCCGCTATTCTCATTTCTGTTGTCTTTTGGCACATACCTCCAGTCGTTTATGTTTTTTTTATTTTTTCTCCCGTCATTGGACTCTGTCGTCTGCCCCTCTGGCCCGCATCCTCCACTTGTACCAGCTAGACGACCCAACCGGGGCCACAAAGGAGGGGGGGGTTGGACCCCGTCCTGCGGTTCCTGCCTGAGATATTTTTATCGCGAGAAGGGTACAGCAATCCTTTCCCTCGCGACTTATGAAGTCGATCAAGATGTGTGTGTGTTGTTCACTCTTGGAAGATGTAAGAATGCGTCGCAAACAACCACAGAAATACAATGCGTTCGAGATAGTTCTGTACCACAGTAGTCGGGTTGTTATTGTTGTTGTTTCCGCCCCCCTTTGCTTGCACCCGACGTGCTTGCTTGCTTGCTTGCTTGCTTGCTTGCTTGCTTGCTTGCCTGCTTGTTTGCTTTGGAGGGTGAGTGCGAATTATGAGAAACAGCAAGCCGATGCTTCCACGGAATACTCGCCCTGTACGGCCCTCCCTCATTTTGGAGGGATGCTGTTTTTCTTGTTTCTTTTTTCGTTTATTCGCCGCTCGATGACTGACAGAAGTGCGGGGCGTTCCAGCACGCTTGATGGCCCACTCCACAGACATTTATCCCCCCTGCCCCCCCTCGAACGCCTTTCGCGCCAGCTCCAAAACCTCGACTGGTCCACCCCAAGTATTCGTGCCCCTCGACCCGCACACACAACCCCCCCCCCCCCCCCCCCCCC